GTTTTTCTCCTTTGTGTATTGCAGTATGTAACATAGTTATTTGGATTTCGAACATACAATTTTTTTTATCAACTTATAAACAAACCAGGTTATAATCTTTTTCAATGTGAATAAAATACAATTCTAGACAACACAGATTAATAAGTATAGCAGTTATAACAAAAGTCTGACAGGATTATTTACGGTATTTAGAATATTGTTATGTTTATATTGGGCAACAAAATTATAAGGAACTTTGAATGACGTTACCACACAATGTTATATTACAGTTATATAACATCAGTATTATAATGGTACGCAACATAGGCATGCTACTGTTATGTACCAGTACTACAATGCGGTTATATTACACAAGTATTGCTGTATTATATGTATGGTGATGATATGTTGTAATTACATCAAAAAATTATAACAAAATCTGTTGCTGTCATATAATAGTGATACTGTAACTGCAGTACCTACATGAGTGTAACAATATTATTTAACATAGTTATGGTGACGCGTTTATAGTGATGTTACATCGCAGTTATTATATAACAACACAATCTTTAAAAATGTTGTGATATGCATGTATCGTAACGTAAATATAATAACAGAGTGTTATTAAATACTAATTTAATTTAGTTACATTACAAAAACATGGTACAGGCCCTGAAAAGGAGTCCTCTACAACATAACTGACTAATCGCTAAATATTATTAAAAAAATTAACAGTAATTTATGTTATCGATCACATATTGTTTCCTACCTTTCCAGAGTTTATTGTGCAGCGGTACGAGTTTAACACTTTTGGGATCAACGAGAAATTTTGAAATTAAACTAGTGTTAATAAACAGTATAACGACCGTCAGAACCTTCAGCCTCCTCTCATCCTCGCCTGCATCGCCGGTACCTATTTTCCCATGCCAGGTGACGTTGCATGTTTATTCCTCAGCACACTATTCGACCATTGTCCACATAAAAGTACTTCCGACCTACTTATCGACAAATTCAGCTAATCTAAACACGAAATCTGTCCTAGTTGTTTATTATTAGTACATTTGTTATTATATAATTTTGTAATATGCCAAATATATTGCAGAAATATAACAAACCATTCATATATATACATATAGATAGTCTCATCCTTTAGTTTTCAGCGTGCAATCCGACGGCAGGCGAATAAGAGATGGCGCACCAACGCTTGCCTGTCAAACTTCGTAGAGTAACTTCGGCCCTAGTCCCTGGCCTAGATCACAGAGTATAGATATATAGCTAACGTATACGGTAGATGTATATCTCTATTGTGCCTAGACTACTCGCACAACACCAACAAAATTTCTTTTAAATCTACGATGCGTTAGAAAATGGGGGGAAGAAAGTACGACTCCTTCTTTCCTACCCGTGAAAATGTCACAATAAGTACCACTAAGTAATTTACAAAGTTACCTGAAGCTTTTCATATATTTTTAATCCGACCAGTATTCTATGGACCCATCCGACTATGCTGTACTAAACTTTGCAACGGTTGTCTGTTCCACTTTGGGTTGGCAGCGTAGAAAACACATACCTAAGCATTAATTTTATATGGAAAAATTTGTGGCCATGGTGTCAGTTATGAAAAACCAATTACATTGAATTCGTAAAGTTTTCCCCATTCCGCATCTGTTCTTGTTAAAATTCTGTTCTTGTTAAAATTACATAGTAAATCGGATTATGTCTTAATTTTCATAATTTAGACAGAAATACGAGCTGCACTTTAAATTACTTACTTACCTGGCCCAGCTGCCAAAATTTCACAGTTTGTTATTACTTTGTAATACTCAGATAACATCTTACACATGTTCTAATTCTTATTATCGATTTTTTGTTTTTAACGTATTTAAGCCGTAATGTTTCTAAGCATATTACATTTTTCGTGTCAAAACTGAAACTAGGAATACAAGAACATTTTGTATTTTATGCATCCTTAGTTAGTCAGGTCATCACTGCACTTTTTTATTAGTATCCAAAATGGTTCCGACTAAGAAAGTCGTTCCGTTAATGTTTTGTTGGAAACCCCGTACTATTCGTTTAAGAAGTTAAATAAAAAAGTCAGTATCCACCCTGTAAATATATATATTAACGAATTTTGAGAGATCGTTAAGATTACAATGATATACTTGGATAACGAGTGTTCAGTTGAAAAAGTCATCCAGTTGACGTTGCTTTGTTGATAGAACAAAACGCATCAAAAAACGTGTATGTTTTAAAAATACATACTGTTGTGTATAACTGCCATTTCCGTGTAGTCGGGTGTTATCACTTAAATTTTAGGTTTATTGTAGACATAACCAACTTGATGATATTTTTAATTGAATATTCGATATTTATTTCATTTTCAAATGATAAAAAAAATATATTTATAAACATAAAAGAATTAAAATAAAAAACTACCACCATTTTACGACCGTTAGAACATATACCAAAATAACTGCTTTTAACACAGATTCTGTTGATAAAATAACGTGTGAGTGCTTTATTTCAGTCAGTTTTAATTTTCTTATGTTTATAATTTTTTTTATCAAATTATACAAACAGTTTCATCACTGTATCACCATATCGACGCCAATACAACCCATTTTAAAACTTTCAACAATAAAAACATCAGTCAATTAAACAGTGATAAAAACATAATGTCATACCTTTGGTGTGCAGTTACTTATCTGCTTTTACAATGGAAATGTGGAAAAATAATATTGATGTAAAAAAAAATGGAGGAAGATTGTAACAAATGCATGGGGACTATCGGGGTTTGTGTTATACTTATTACCCGTCACAAAAATATGTAATGACGATAGTGACTTTAAAGATCAAAATTTTGAAGACAGACATAAACAATGAAAACTGTTAGATTTTAATTACAAAATTCGTATGGTGTTCATATTCATATTTTCATAGCAAAACATAGGTACATTTTTTTTTTTAGTTTTATTTATGCACTTACTATTTTTTTCTTATTTTAAAGCTAAAATATAAAAATAGATTTCTTAAAATCTATATTTACTTTCAGTTTTAGGAAACAGTTTTAAGCAAATTTACATTATTTTTGAATTATTCAATAATTTCTTTCTACAAAAACATAAAATTTCAGTACCTACATTAAAATTATTTTTGCCAGGTTAAAAGTAACATGAATTCCTTGTAATTAGCAGGTATTCTTTATTAATGTTAGGTAACTAATTTCCTATTTCGTGGACAGTTGACGCGTTTATAGGACTGGACAATACTTAAGGACACTTTTGAAAGCTTTTGACAGAAGTCACCATAATATATCTTTTTGCAGGTCTTCTGAGTAAATTGCCGTGTTAGTGTATCTTAAAAGTGCGAGCGAATAATAAAATAACTTCATTCGTACTGTCCTAATGCAAAGCCAAGGAAGTATTGTAATAGGGTCCATCGGACGAATAGCTACTTTCATGATTTCTCGACGTTTCGTCAAACCTAGGAGTACCTACAAAAATGTTTGTGTCGCGTTTCCGTCTGTCTGTCGTCTGCCTGACGTCTGTGATGATTTTTATAACATAGAATGATAATCTCCGAAACTGCTGTCCAAACTCTTTACTCAACAACAGCAATGGTAAATACGACGATTCCTTAGCGCGGCGGTAACGATGCCGCCCTCAGAGTTGGAATGCGACAATGGTCGCACAAATGCAAAAACTGTCGTACGTTTGATTCCGCCTCATAGGCCTATCTTTTTTAACACTGTTACTGCTGTTATATACACCCATGTTGAATTTTATACCTCATGTTAACTTCTGTTAAGGTGCAAACCCAGAGATGATTTTTGCGGTGAAAATAGCCATCAGGTTCTACTTTAATTTCCACTACCTACCACTTTTTGCAGTAAATTGTTAGTTTGAGCTCTAAAAAATAAAGATTATCATTTAGACTTGCGTTTTTGACTGCATAGTTTTAATTTAATCATTAAATACGTTTATTGCAGTTTTTAGAAAAGAAACAGAATGATGGAATTCAAACATAAATGAAAAAAATGAAAGATAATTTCACTGAAATTGTATTTTTGATGTCTACGTGAGAATGCCTGTGTTTATAAATCTGCCAAAAAAAATTTTAAATTGTCCTCTTGCCGGTATGAGACGGTGTGGGAATGCGCAATTTTTCTGTTGTCGATATGCCTTTAATATATCCATCAGTGACCATTTCCACTTTTTCTTTAAGTCTACTGTGACAAGTTGTCGAATTTCGGTCACTAAAAACCAGTCTGTTTTACATGGCTGCCTATAATATTACTAACAAAAATATCCACATAATTTAATTTTTTTAAAGAAATATCCTATAATTTAAAGCATGAGGTTTAATAAAATCGACAGAAGACGACCTACCTTACATGCAGTAAAAATTTCAACGTTGAATCTTTGCTCAAACATAAATTAACATAGGGTATAAAATTTAACATGGGAATGCCTATGGCCACTTTTAAAAAAGATGCACTGTATATTTTTTATGTATAGAGATTACCACAAATAAAATGTTGCAGTATAGATTTTCAAAGGAGCTGGACCACATTTCAGGGGCGAGGGAGGTTCAAAATAACGTTCGGTCACTTTTTTTTATCACTACTCTTTTATTCAAAAAAAGCTGGACGAGCTGAGAAAATCAGGTTCTCATGAATCAATGGAAATCAATGGGATAAAACATTCATGTTACTGTCATTTGTCCAATTTTATTATGAATAAAATCATACCAGGTAAAAAGAAGATTCAACTAAACGAAAGCCGATTTGTTAGCCTCCAAAATTTCAACTCCTAGAAGTGGTTTAATGGAGTAGTAGATGTCAGTGTAAACTACCCACTTATTAGTGATTAAAAATTAGATTTCTGCTCGATAACCTTAAAGAAAATAAATCACTATGACACCACTACATTGAATGACTAAAAAATACTCCTAAAATTTTCAGTAAGCTATATTGTCAATCATTTGACATTTCCAGGTTAACTATACTTCCATAACAAACTTTTGTTTGAAATTTTAGTAACACGTCATACAATGGACGAATGTAAGTGAAACTGCCATTTACCTCATTATGTTAAAACAATTCCAGATTTTAAGGTGAAACTGACATACTCAAGTCCCTTTTCATATTATCCAGATGCGGAAGTGGAACCTTCTCTTCTCCAAGAACTTGAGATCAATTCTGACCAAATCCTGCAAAAAATTCAAATAATTTGCCACTTATCTAGACACCCTGACGATGAGTGTCTTCTAAAAGACCCAGATTTGAGTGGTCCCCTTTTTCTATACTTACTTCTGAGTACCTGCTCGTTTTTATCTGGAAATAGTCCGCACTTTGGTTCTGTGTATGGAATATCTGTCGTTTCTTGCGTGTTGATGTACTGCTTGTTGTCACTGATGTTTTCCGAACATGTATTTCCCGTAACAACCGTCGCTTCGGTCTTAGGTTACAGCTTAGTTCCCATTGTCGCATTATCAGCGTTCGGCATATTTTACCCTTTGAGAAGCTTAGTAGGTATTACTTTGGCAACTTCGTCGGTGATTTGGTCGAGTATGTCGGCTTCGAGGTTGTTTGTGACTGTGCCCGGGAAGTGGAAACAGCAGCCGTTGGTGGCGTATCCATGTGCCGTGGTGGCCGCAATTTATGTGTTAATATTGATGTTTTAATTAGAAATAAAAAAACTATACATCTTTTTATTCTATTTTAGAACCATAATCTTATTTATAAGCACCCAAATGCGGGCTTAAATTGGCCTTTTTAGCACAAATCTGTCAAAAATTGCTAAGCAACAATTGATTGTTCATTTACTCTAATCAATTAATTATTCAAACACGCTTCGATATTCAACGTTTTTCTTAAGTTGGAAAAACAATATTTTATCAAATCATTACCTGACCGACTTCAAATTCTTCTAAACTTTCGTTTGAATAAACGTTTTCCGCTTCTTTAATTTACATTTTGAAAAACGAATTATCAAATAATCAACGTGGTATCCATAACAACATCAAAATAATAGCCAGCTATGTATTAAAATTCGCATCGGCACAATTCACACAGTCTTGCCGAAAATACTCAATATTTCGTTAAAAATAGTTTATAAACTAAAATAGAATAAAACGTTGTATGTACCACGTGCATAATTGTCGATTGTGGCACTCAGGAAATTAAAAGCCCTCCTTCGTCGGGCTTTAAACATTCCCTCGTGCCACAATCTCCCTGATTATGCCCTTAATACATAAATAACTATTATTTGCCGAATAAGTTAACTATGTGTCACCTACCAAAAGTTATGTGTAAAAATCTGGTGAGACATGCTGGACTGAAGATAAGCTACAATACATTCCTAGAAATTCACGTAATTATTTATTTTTGAGAGACATGTACATGACAAAATTATATTATAACCTATATGAGCAAATACGTAATATTCAACCACGGATACGTTACGTGTAATACACGATAAAATGTGGAGTGATCATTTAGACCAGAGATCAAATGACGTACAAGAGAATATTGTATACTGTGACATTGGGCGTTAGTCAAATTAGTCTCATTAAATTATTATCAACGTCAAAATAAAAAACTAATAAGAAAAACGATGTACAATACATACAGATACGTTTTATTACTAGACAATGTAGCACTTTTTTTGCTTATCTCAGACATAAACCAAAGAAAAACAAGCCAAACTCGTCCATATGGAATACGGAATCCTTTGCTCTATTTGTGTTGTGTTCGCACATATTCGTGCATATACGAATAAGCATTTTCAAGATTGGATTAATTCTAACCAAATATTTTAGAACAAAGTTACGTTATGGGGCAACAAAAACTAACGATAAATTGTAAGAACGTGTTAGAAGCTTATTCACTAAACAAATTTTGTTTTGTTTAAAATCGGTGTTTTTTCCTGAATAGACTTTTGCACGACTAAGATGGCCGCCGACACAGTAATACCACTGAAGTGAAAAAAAACTGTAATTTTTGTCCGCATTCTACTTAATACGATGAGGAAACCCAATTTGACAAACGAAAAGCGAACGGCATATTAGCAAAGAAAACTTTGTAGGTAGAATCGCTTGCAAATATTGACATTTTATAACTTCGTAGTACTAGTAGTTAGTTCTAGGTACGATATATAAATTAAAAAAATACGATGAAGGAATGTCGGAATAAATATTTTTTTAATGACTTATTTATCTTTGAAAATTTTGAAACTGCAAATATCGAAAGTGACTCAGTTATTATAGAACAGAGGGTAGTATCTTTTGTAATTTTGACTTATTGACAAAACTGTTACTAGTAATAATAATAGTTATTGATCAAAGAAATTATAAAATTATTATAGAAAATTACTAATAATAACAATAACAAAATAAGTGAATAACACTTTAAGGACAAATCAAAAATAGTAAATTGTAATTCGACAAAATGTCAATGACGTAACTTTGATATTATTGCCTACAAGAATTTCAAAATTGGTTTTTCACCAATTTTGTAAAATTCACAAGGTGGCTTCTTATGATTGGTTAATGCAGTAGATCTTCCACTTTACGATTAATTTCTACAAAAGTAGGTATTTTTTATTACTTGTTTTAATCAAAATTAAATATTTGAGTGGGAAAACCAGGTGAATCTGTAATTTAAAATGGCTAAATTTATCACAATAAATTTGCTCTTTATCAACTGACCCTTGGATTATATATTTTTGTCATGCATCATGCATGTCACATCATTGTTTTCCATTTTTTACCTGTGTTAGCCTTTGTTATTAGAGAAAATTTGTTGTTAGTAATTAACATGCTATTGGCAAAGATGTTGTTATTTTGACACAAGCGGCAGTCCACACTTTTTTGTTTCTAAATAAGTGTGCAAATGCCAAAAACTGCAAATAATTTTCAAATTACTTTGATCTACCCTCTAAAAACTAGATAATAAAGCTTGTGAAATTGACAATTGGAACAGCTTGCTGACAACAAACTAACTGTTATGTAGTGGATTATTTTCCAGCTCCAACTGATAAAGTAATTGAATTTTTATTTCTGTTAATTACATCATTATTGTTTATTAATAATAATAGAAGCACTTTTTCACTAATGTCACTAATATTCTTCTCACGTTTCCATTTTTGACAAGCCTTTTATTTTTCGTAAATCGCTCACAATTTTTGAGGAAATAATTTACCTATTAATTGCTCCTAATGCTTCTTGCTCGACGTCCGACGGCAATTTTTCTTCTTCAAATTCGTTTTCATACATTTTTTCTGCGTCCACTTTTGTAAAAATAAAAAGTTCATGAACAAGCTGTATAGCAACTCATAACTACACTACGATCATAGACTACAATGAAAATAGAGCTTGATATTTAAATTTCTAAAATTTTTTGGTATCGTTTTCATTCTGCTATAGAAACAAGTGTAATACTTAAAAAACCCCGACAAAAAATAACCTTTAAAAAATCTGAAAATGATTAAGAAAACTGATCCCTTCACCATTGCGTTGGAGATTAATAAAATGAACTCTCTGAGTTGAGGTGACTCTAGCTTCAGCTGACGTCTTCGTTCATCTGTCGGCCAGAACCATATTATGAATTTTGTGGAAGTTTTCCTTTGAAAAATGAGGACCTAAACCACAATACACTTGTTTTCATTTAATTCCTAAACGAAGAATTACTAACAGAAGGACTTGACATTATAGAAACGTCTACGAGAAGTCTACTTGAAGTCTACATATGCAGTTACTGCTTTTTCTTCTTTCACCCTCCAAGACAATGCAAACTGAGTTATTAATCAAACCACCCTCGTAAGAACCTTCTCGACTGAACCGGCTTTCCAAAAGAAACCGCAAAGCATCCTTTTGGAGCTACGGTGCAACAGCGAGACACAGAGAAATTAGCTGATGATCTGGAAATGATTGAAATGATTGTCGTCAGACATCGTTAAGAACCATCCCGAGTAAACCAGCTTACAACTAAAAAACACCGCTTCGAAGTCACACAGAAAAAGAGGTCGAAATTATAACACCTCGGTTTTTCAGTCGGGGATTAAAAAAAAGAATATTATACACGACGATAAAGGGAAATTAACTTCTCGTGAAAGATAATTCTCACGTGACTATTGTCACTCGAGAATTAACATCTACACCCAATATATAAAGAAACCCTTTATCGTCTTATGCATTCACCGAAGAACTAAAAAATATACTACTTTAATAGAAAATGATCAAAATTCAATAATCAAACAAAGCTGAAAAAAAAATATTAAAGTTTCCAAACAAGCAAAATCAATGATCATTGACACACTGTTTAAGGACGTCAATAACGGGTATTTCCCCCACGAACCTCTAGGACTGCTGCCATTCTCCAGGCCATCCCATGAAATAAATTGTTTGTGTATTCTTCTTGGATATTCTCTCATTCCTTTAAAAGCACATTCTGAAACTCATCTAAGGTGTGGGGTGCTGGTACACTCAATTAATATGCTGGTCAAGAAACAACATCAAAAATAAGTGTAGTAAAACGTCGAAGCACTACTCAGAAAAATATTAGCTGGCCCATTTTTCATGCCGGTGAGTGTACAATAAACAACTATTATTATTATTAGAGTAGTGTATTACATCGTGTATACATCTCGCGAGAAAAGTTTAGTCACGAGGAGCAAAGGAGCAAATGACTATTTTTCTCAAGCGATTTAGAAGCATAACAGGCGAGTTTGATAATATGAGTAATCTTGGGTGAATATTGGATTTTTTAAAATTGAATCTTGGCAACTGTCAAAATCACATTGTTACTCAAACTAACTTTAATAAATGTGGCCATTTTTTTAAGTAATTTAGTTTTTCAATAATCTGTAAATACTTTATTTATTTTGTGAAAATCCTTACGTACATACGAGTTTATATTTGGATTCATCACACAAAATACATAAGAATTAGCTCTCAAATTGAAAACAATTTTTCGAAATTTAGAAACCGTAGGCCTCTGTAATAATAATTGAATTTGGAACGTTAGAATGGTTAGATTAAGATTTTTTTTGGGGTTCCATTGTTTTCATTTATTATTTACGTCCAGTGAATGATGTCATTTCCATTTTTAGCCAAATATATAATAAATATTTCTGAAATATTTAGACACTATTCATTTGCGAAAATTCTGGGACTTTTTTGTGAAATTAGAACAAATGGAAACTGGTCTGCGTATCGATCTGCAATAAAAACAAAAATGACAAATTCTTCCATTCAACCTAACCATCTTATCAGTTGAAAGTGTATTTAAGTTTCGCTTCTGAATCAATAACCGATCAGCTTTCACTATCTCCTACTAAAGCAGATCATAGTATGTATCACAGTACATATTAGTGTAAATTTTACAACCCCTGTAAATACCAACGACTATGTTTACTCCTCCTGAAACGGCAGCGACTACAAGATTCACAATACGTAATTATTACGGATCAGCTCACTTTATTTTCTATGTACAGCAGTGTCCTAATTACGGTACATTGCGCGAATGTAATTGGATTCGTGAGAATTCCTGAATTTTAAGACCTCCTCTTCTTCTCGGAAGATAGCGCGAGAGTTGAGTTCTCAAATACGCTAAACGAACATAACGAATTCAATTACTAAGTTTCTTTGTTGAACGAAATTCTTGGCCTCTATTCGAGATTAAATTACTTATTTTATTATTAATAACGCC